GGAGCAGCTTTTGAAAGAGTCACATAGCAAGATTGCCACAAAGGTTTATAATAATGATTAGGGATCACATAATTAAAGCCACTTACAAACTGGAAAAGCATTCTCAGCAGACTTCACAAACTCTAAAATGCTTGTTTATTCAATAATTATGGAGCATAATTATGGTAATGAGGTTAGCTCAGATTTACATATTAGCAATGCATTTTAATGATCTGATTATACAAAAGTGAGATACAATAGATTAAATTTTATATGGAAAATTTGTTGCCAGACTGGAATCATAAGACAAACCCACCCTGCCCCCCCCCCCCCCCCCCAACAAATAGATTTATAAGAGCTCAGGGAATTACCATGTAATAAATCCTATGGTTGTAATGAAATAACTAGAGCAGAAAAAAATTCTAACCATTGTATGAAATCCCCAGCTGCAGAACTGCTGCTGAGTGACATTAAAGAATATAGGGTTTCTTTTTCCTTTTCAAACTGTTTTTTAAAAATATCACCAAATGGCTACAGAGCCCTTGGAGACAATTTTGTGAAGAACAGTCACTGCCTTTGTTTCTGAGCAGTGAAGTTAACAAGTCTAGATAAAGGAAATGTCCCTCTTGTTTTCTCACCCGGCTCTCATCTTTTCTTTCATCTAGCTCATCCTTTCTTCCTTTCATCCAGTTTTTGCTTCTCTTGCTTTCATTCGGTAGTGTTCTCTCAAAAGGCCCTGCTATGTTTTCTACCAATAACATTTGTGTTTCTGTGGTTGGAATAATTGTATTTCCTTCATGTATGTCTTTCTTGCAGTGTTGGGCTCTGTAAAGCTTTCAAATTTTATTTTAAAGGAACAGTTTAGTTCCTTTAATCTTTGATTTGGTAATACAACATTGTCTTTAACTCATTAAATGTCCTCCTCTTGTTGTTTTAAGAGGTTAGTGATTTATTTTGTGCAGCATTGAGCAAATTGGATGTTCTTTCAGTCAGGGAAATCAAAGCAAGGCTGCACCTGATGCGCTAGCTGGTAAAGGGGGATAATATGCTGAAATATTCTGTTTGGATTTGAGGGGCTTGGTCTTTGTGGGAGTTTTTTTGTAAATAATTAAAATTATTTGTAGGTACAATAGTGTGAATAATAGTGAAATTAAAATGTGAAAACATAAACAATGCTGAGGATGCTGAGATGGAAGCAGTGATGTTCTCTTTCCACAAGGCAGAGTGATTCATGTTAGTTTTGTTATCAGGATTCAGCCTATGCACCAGCTTAGCTGTGCTGGAAATACCCTCTGCTCCCGCCCATCACTCTGATTTCAAGAACTACCTAACCACAGGGGCTCCTGCAGTGAACAGACACTGCCAAGCAGACAGAGGTGGGAAGGTTTGTCACTGTAAGAAGGAACATCTTTGGGAATAGTAACACTGGTTTGTTCTTGGGTCCCAGAAGCACCCTGGGCACTCAGTGCTGCCCAGAGCGTGTCACAGCAGCTGGCTTGCTTTATGAAACAGCAAATGCCAATCTGAACCATTGCATCCAGAACTGTTTGCTCTAATGTTGACAGTCTAAGTCTGGAAACTTCAATTCCTAAGCTAAGTACATTTTTACTGAGGAAATCTGAACTAGTGAATCCTTAAGCTAAGTATTTTACTGAAGTAAAATAACATATTCGTAAAATCTAGGGTGCCTTCAGTTACAGTGGGCTGACTCCTGAGACGAAGACAGAGAACCAGCAAATACTTTGGAAGAGGGGGAAGATGAGTTTTGCCCAGGTTTGGGTTAATCTTATTTTAAAGCATCCAGATTGCCAGTGCTCATTCTTTCAAGTAATAAATGGATACCAAGGAAGTGATTATTTACTGTTGATTCTGCATAGTTCTAAGCCCACAACCTAAACCTGTGTTTTATGCACATCTTTAAATTTCCCTGAAAAAGTAGACCCCCCCAAGGTTGCATTTCCAAGCTCATTCTTAGCCAAACCCTCTCTGTATTATTTTTCAAATACAGTTTTTAAGTTGCATTGACAGTATCAGTATTTGTCCTCTTAGACACCAGCTTTTGAAAACCTGGTCTGAAGTCTATAGTCAAGAAAACTTAGGCTATAGTATTGAATATAAAATTTTTGTCATCTCTCTTTGCTTGTTTACATTTTCTTGCAATGTCAGTCGTTTCATCCTTGTGTATCAGCACACTAGGGATGGACTTTGCAGACCTTGTGTCCTCTTTTTCCCAGAGAGGGACATATGAGCTTCCACTCTCTTTGTCTTTATTTGTGTACAGGTATTCTGGAGCAAACCTAATCGTGCTGCTCGCTGGGATTGTTTGCCCTTGTTTCAGGGCTTGCTTGCAGTTTGCCGTGTGCCAGTGAAGAAGACTGAACTGTGCTGTTTACACTGCTCTTTGAGTGTGCTAGACAAGGGCATCTCTCAAATGCAAGGCACAGCATTTTGACTGGCATATTTTTGCAGGGGACTCTATTAAATGAGGAAGTATATGCTTTAACTTTTAGCAGCAGCACTTGTGACAACTAAACCAGTCCTGATCCAAAGACCCATTATCCTTCATGGGTTATATTTTATTTGCATGGCAGTAGCCCCATAATAATAGTTCTACAGGAACATCTCCTCCTTTCCTCAGTGTTGTTAATATTAAAGAATTGACTAACTTTGGATTTAGCATTGGATTTTGCCCTTGATAAAAATGTATGAGAGATATTATTTGTATTCAAGGATGTTTTTTTTTTTCCTACTGAAATCAGTAGATGAGTCACAAAAGTGCAAAGATGGCAAAAAGCCAGTGTTTGTGAAGAGTGAGCTCTTTATCTTCCTTCTCCAGAGCTGCTTGCAGGAACATCTCTGGTGGTTATCCTGGAAGTAGTTTCATTGTCACGCATTCAATACAACCTGCCCTTTTAACAAAAGAAGATACATTTCTTTATCTCTCTAATTAAAGCTTAGACTTCAAAACATTATATATTGTCTGTGGCTCCAACAGTCTTCTAAAAGAAGAACAGCCCTTTCTTTAGGGGAAAAAGATCTCAGTGCTGTCTATGCTTCATGGATTTTCAAGTCAGCACATGAACATTGTGAATTGCATAAATTCAATGGATGTTCAGTTCTTCAACACAGAAACACGTTACCCAGGACATTATTGCCTGAGGCTTAGAATAGAGAAGCTGCAAGTCCCTGCCAGACAAGCTACAGACATACTGATATATCTCTGCAATGTATTCTTACTGTCCAAATACCAGCTTGATAAGTTCATGTAAAAGTCAAGCAATAAAAATATCGCCAAACCAGGCTGAGGATAATTATATCCTTTCTTTTCGAAGTCAAATATAAATGATCCTGCTCATTTAAAAATCCCCCTGCTGTGCTGCCCTAGCCAATTTCTCTTATCCCACGACTCTAACTGCGCTCATTGTTCTGGGCCGTATTTGCCATTTTGAGGACACTGAAAGAGTAGGAAAACTTTCTGCTTTTTTGCCTCTGTGTTCTGCCTTGGAATGCTCCATTACATGTTTCTCCTGAGCCAGCCTGGCTCACAGCTTTCCTTTCAAGCCGTCTTTTCCTTTCAAGCCGTCTTTGTTGATCCCTCTTCCTGGGTAGAATATGGTTAGGAGGAAGATGTTGGGAATTCTGTCCATAAAAAGTAAGCGAGCTTTGAGATCTTTCATGTGCCATGAACTTCAGAGCTTGTGCAAGTCCAGCGTTAGCTCTGCTGCCTTTGAGTGAGGCTGCTTAACTGTAATTGGCAGTGAAACATTTTTGTAATCTTTTTGGTACAAAAGATGCTAGACAAGCAATAAATTGCATCATGTTCTGCTTTATGAAACACATGAAAAACCTAGCGAAAATAAAACAACTCTTTAAATCCAGCTCCTCAGATCCAAAGCACGTGATTTTTAGGAAGGTGACTAGTGAAACCCCTGTGCCTCTCAGTGTTATTCAGGGGGAATAGTCTCACAATAACAGAAAGATATATGACAAATCTATACAGGCACACATATGTGTATGTATCTACAACAGATACAAATATAATATGTTACTTTTCTGCACTTCTGGAAGATGGTACCCTTTCCCTGAGATTTTAAGTACTGTTTAAAGTGCATGCCAGAGTAGAGGAGAAGGTCAAAATGGGTTCAAGGGGCTTCGCAGCCATAAAAAGAGATAGTATTGGGCCATTTCTGAAGCTGGAAGCTCTGCCCCTGGAATTGTGCTCCCAGGGGTGACTGACTTGGAGTCAAGACTCACCTGGCCAACCTACTTGGTTTAGGAGTTGTTGGTGGTTCTGTTTGTTTTCCTCTCTTTGTCAGATTTCCTTTCCTCAGGATTGGTGGGTGTTTGTGGTGGGTGGGAGGCATGAGTTAAGAGGCAGGATCTGGTCTGTAGACATGAGGGATAGGGCTGTGAGTACTGAGCTTTTAGTCTGACTCATTGGATGCCATAACCCTGGCATTAAATGTCACAGCTTTGGTGACTGGTTTATCACACTAGCTATGATGGCTGGTTCCAGTAGGTTGATCCTAACCAGGAAGGGAGACTGGAAATTTCCTTGCTGAAAATGGATACAATTGCACAATGATGGCCAGTGCCCTTCCCATCCTGAGATCTCAGACAGGTGAGACTTAACCTTAATTTAACCTTAATTCGTAAGTCATTAGTAGGCTATCACACTGCATACCAGTATCTGGTTTCTGGCTGCTGAGGTGCAGGGCAGAAACAAGCTGTCAAAGGCCTCCACAAGCATTGCAGTGGATATGGGGAGGGAATCCGGACCCCACTCCTCATTTCCACTGTAATGTTTAAGCTTTTTGTCTCACTTGCTGCAGGAAAGGTACAGAGTGGTAAACAACTGCTGGGAATAAATGAGCTTGTCATGCTAAGTGTATTCCTAGAGGGGTGCTGTGCTGTCTCTTTCTTCTTTATAAGAAACAGCTGGCCCACAGTGGCTGTACTATCTAATCCTATGATAAAAGCAGGATTCAGGTCCCCCCATCCTAACAGTGTCTCATGCTGTCTTGTTGCCTGCGGTTGATGGAGAGTGCCTGTGGTTCTGCTGCAAACAGCACTCGAGCTGCTCATTGAGATTGTTTCCATCAGCAGCTTTTGCCACCTAGGCAGATGTCTCTTCAATCCATGCCTTGGAGCCTGCTTTACGTTCTCCCCTGTTAACTCAGGTACAGCACATGTCACGAGCACAGCCCAAAGGCCAGATAGCACCAGCTGATCTGGATAGTAGCAGACTGATCCCTATGGCAGGAGTGCAGAGAAAGGAATTTTAATCCTGACTAATTCACTATTTGGTTTGGTTTGTTTTCTTTTTGCAGAAGATATCTGTGAAGAATGAGGCAGCAGCATTAAGTGATTGTTTGAAGGATGAAATAACAAAAGCCACTGCCCATTGAGACAAGAGTTATTGTTTGCTGAGTAGTTTGAATACTGTAGTTTTTGAATACTGTTACAGTAATAATGGGTAGTTGGAGTAAAAGTAGTTGTGTTACATCTTGAAGCAAACAGTCATTAAAAAGATTAGTCTTAAAATGTATGAACTGCTGTACAGGGAGTTTTAACACTGCAAAACAGAAATAATTTTAGCCAGCAGGATACTCTGTATCTAAGCCAACACAACCTTTTTCTACACTGATACTCAATTTATTGGACTCCACTATTTCACGGGGACTTTCGACTGATGCTTTTTCAATATCTTAGCACGAGCCCCACAGCCTTCACAAAACAGGCAAATTCTGTTCACCCTCTTTCATAGACAAAGAACTGAGCCTGGAGTCCAAGCTGAGGATAGGTGCTTAATGAGGATTTGGGTACCCTGTCCAAAATGATGATCCTGAAAGTCTGCTTAGCTGTCACCTAATGCTAAAGATGGTTAATGCCTTATAGTTAACGCATGTCTCTATTTTAATTTTGTTTTCCAGCATGAAGAGTTCCGCTTTTGCCCAGAGTGTTTCTGCCCTCAGAGAGCTGAGGTGGGGGGATCCCAGCTTACTTCCAAGTGAGCAGAATATCTAAGGTAAGTGTTCTCCTATCTGTGACTTCTTAGGCATCTTTGGCATATGTGTTCTGATTTTGGCTGTACACACTGAATGAAAACTTTATGTTGCAAAATTCATGCTGGCCTGTCTTGTCCCTGGGTATTGCACAGGCAATGAGGAAAAAAGGGTGGGATTTGGAGTCCCACACTAAGACCTCAAGGCTTGAGGTTGCAGTACCCGATTTTGGCTACAAATTCATTTGTGGCTGTGCTTGTAAGGGACCTGCCTAGAGTTAAAAGGAAAGTCTTCAGAATTGTAATGAGCTTCCTGGGTCACCTGTGAGGTGAGTTAAGCAGTAGATCCATTCGTTTTATACTTCTACATTGTGGTGGTTTGCTTCTCATGAATTCTGGCTCCAGATGTCTTGCTAGAACCCCAAAAGTAGTGTGCGTGTGAAGTGTTTTAAGATGGACTTTTTTTTCTTTTTTAAGCCCCATCATAAAAAGGATAGTGGTTTCTTATCTGTAGGAGTATCCTCCACAATACGGCACAAAAGAAGACTTTATTCTTGCAGTAGTTACAGGCCCTGGTCTGTGTTGCATTCCCATGTGAAACTGAAAGATCATCAGCATCAGCACTGTGTGCCCAGCATTGCTGCCTGTTTTGCACTAGATTATGTCACTAGAAAGCACGAAAATTGTGAGAAGGTCCTTTTCTAAGAAGGGGGTTGAAAAAATGGTAACCCAGCAGGACTTTAGGTGTGTCCTGTTGTGCCCAGCAGCCCTTCTTGCTGCAGGACAGGGTCTGTCATATGCCTGACTTTTACACTGAGACGCCTTATAGAGAAAAACCTGCCATGCCTCTTCCTGTCAGGTGAGATGCTGCTGACTGCACATGTGGACATCCCCTAATGCATATGTCTGTCCTTCACTTCATCACTTTGCTAGATGATTTTTAGAGCATTTTTGAACTGCCTGAAGTGAAAGTTTAGTTAGATATTTAATCAGCTGCTGCACATACAATTTAAGAAGTTAAAAATTGCATCTTTCTGCCAGTAGAATATGGTCTTTTGCTATATAGACTATGATGTTTTGTGCTTTGACATGTTTTGCTTCCTGAAATACCTGACAATATGCAAAATTCTAGTATGCCTCAACAGAAAAGTTGGCAATACAGATTGCAAAGGGAATGTGTAAAAGATAACTCTAAACCATTCAGTTCTGCATTACCCATCTTTCACCTCTATTCTCCCTTAGATTTGGTATTTTCACTCTGTTCTGATGTTTAGTTAAGAGAGTGATTTGAACTCTTGACTTTCTTGTTTATCTGCATGAAACTTCTGGGATTAGGGTTTGAATCTACATGGCTGTGCAGGAGTGCAAGAGAAATAGCAGCCACAGATACACTGTCTACTTCTTGTAGGTGTTCGGGTGCACAGTGACATTTCCAACATCAATAGATGCAAAAGTTCATGTTGGCATGGAAACATTTTTTTCTTATTGATTAATTGACATAATTGGTAATGTGAGCAGTGAGATGTCTTCTGGGGGCATCGACCCAAGTTCTCTTCATGCTGTAACTCTCTGAACTTTTAGCACACTGTGTTAAGCTCTTCACTAGAGAATTATATCCTGTTATTAATTTTTGCTGATGTTTAGCCATATAACATCTATTATATTGTTTCATTCTATGTTGCAATAAGGTACATTGTTGCATTAACTTAGTTAAAGAAGTTGATTTCTTCCTGTGTGTATGCATTTTTAGGCTTTTTCTTACTCCCTGCTCCCTTGGGGCTTGTATTGTTTGCTCCATTTGTATGCTACTGAAATAGCTGTTTTTTTTCCTCTGATCTGAAAATGCAGAAGAAACAGTGAAGGAGATTTGCTGCAAAATCTGTGCAAATATTCAAATAAATCAGACAGCTTCCTTGGCAAATACACTCTTGGTATTATGCATTCCTTTTTACTGAAAGATAGTGACTGAAATGTTAAGAAAACCCTACTTTCTGTGACATTTTAAAAGATTTTTTCAGAGAATGAGCCTAATGGTGTTGAAATGTGGTACAGTAGTTATTTGAGAACACAGCCTTAGGAAAGGGCATTTCCTGGCACTGCACCATGTTTGAGATAAGAATGAAGCTCCATGTCTTTAGCAAACAGAGCCTGTGCTTAGTTTGAAGAAATGCCATGTGCATCTTCTTTAAAAACCTACTAATTACACACCATTAGAAAATAAGGACGGGACTGCTAATCAGCTGCCACTCCATATTCTGCAGTGTGCCATGTTTGCAACCCTTGGAATTATTCTTGCAGCTATTTTCAGTGCTTTTCATTAACAAGATTGTCTACTTTTCAAGTTTGTTTACTTGAATAAAAAATTGTTTTGAATTCCATTTTTCTTCATGAGGCTCCTGGAAAAACAGTTTATTTTGCAGTGATTTAAATAGTCACAATTAAATTGGGTCTTCTATCTCACTGTGTTTTTGCTATCAGTAGAGACCTGAGTGCCTCTTCTCCAGGGCAGAGCTCTGCTCAAGTCTCATGAGCAGAGCCGTAAAGGCAAATGGTCTCAATGAACAGCTTATCTTTCTTTACCTTCACAGACAGAATTAAACCTGTAAAGCTAAATCACCTCTGGATGAAAAAGACTGGGTGAAAAAGACCTGAGAGAATGGCACAGTACCCTTGGTTACAGACTATTTAACAGTAGTGGTGGCTTGTTTCTAATCTGTAAGAGATTTTGTGTGTTTCTCCCCACCTCCATCCCCCTTAATGTTCTTTTCTAAACACTCCTGCTATTCCCTTATAAATTCCCTTATAAATATTTAGTTGCTTAGTCTCAGGGGGCAGCACAATGTGGAGAATAAAATGCTGGAGCAGAGGTGTGAGACACAGGCCACTGGCTGTTCGTGATTGTCACAAAGCAGTCTTTTTTTTTTGCTAGAGATTCCTAGTCACTAAGTCGGAGAGAATTGTTTCTCCATCTTTCTCTTTTGGGGTCCACAAATAAAGAATTCTTTCTTCACGTGGTGTCATTTAGAGTTTTCACGTGAAATGGCAGTATCTGCAGCTCTGGTTCATCCTGGTATGTGTGTTTGAGAAGAAGAAGAGATTTACTAGAAAAATTACTGTCATTTTTTCATGACTCCATATCCCTCATGGTAAAGGATGGCAGTGCTTGAACTGCACAAGTCAGTTGTTTAAACAGGATTATAAGCAGTAATGCTCTTTAAGGGCACAATTTGCTGGACCACATGGCCATACCTGTGTAATGGAGTTAATATTTCTTTTCCTCCACCTGTTACATGGCTCTTCCTTTATGAATCACAGACATATTTGGCAAAGGGATATCTTACAAAGCATGAAAGTACTGCTTAATCACAACCAAGTTGTTGCTGCTTTCTCCATGTTCTTTCATTTGTCATGTAACCTTGAAGTATGCGATCACTAAGAATTAACTAAGTGTTTCTGCCATTTTTTTCTTACTGGTTATCAAAAAATCCATTATGGAGGATTCATGCTTTGCCAGACAACCTGGCTGCTATACAGAGGTGCTCTGCGGTTGCTCCAGCTTTAGAACTGGTTCAGTGATGATCAGACCACTATTTGAGAAACTGGAATAAGCAAGGGAGGTGCAGTGTTAGCCCAAGGAAGTGTATCTGTCCATCAGCAGCACTAATGTGCCTGAATGAATGTCACTAGAGATTGTAACATATTTATTGAAAGACATCACCTTAAGCAGGTTGAGCTTTGCAATCTACATGTTATTTTACTCAAATATGACTCTGATTAGGCCTATTTGCTTGGAAATACAGAAAGCAATTGGAGATAGATTTTATACTATTTGCAAATAAAATTGAGAATTGCATTGCCAGTTAACATCTCATTTTTTGACACTTTCAATCTGTAGTCGCATTCTTTCAAAGCAGATGAACCAGAGAATGAGTTTAATTGTTCAGCTTTCTTTTCCATTGCTACAGGACCATGGAAGGCCCATAGACCCACTAGCCTTGTTGCTCCTATTGTCCCTTTTCCCACATGCCTGCCTCACACACTGGATTTGGAGGCAGCTTGTACATGTGCCGATACTGGATTTGCCCCTCTGTCTGACTGATGTGATTTTTATATGACATTCTCTCTGCAACTTGTCTGACCACCCTGAGGATTAGCTGACCTGAGCAGAAAGTAAAGGGCAGCTAATTCCCTCTTTTTGACTTGTTAGAGAGCACAGTTACACTAACAATCTATGCTCATTTGGAGGGGCAGGATGGCAAACAGAAATGCCATGCAGAGATTGTTATGCGGGAGTATAAAGTGGCAGAAGGCCAAGCAAGCTTGCCACAATTAATCTCTTTAGGGAAGATGCCAACCTGAATGCTCATGTATTATCTTCTGTTTGCTGATTCATGGCTGGAATAAGTATCAGCCTTTTTCCTTCTGGCTGAAGGCAGTAATGAGAAGGAAAGGATACTGGCACTATCAACAAAATAAAATGGAGCCAGACTGAATCAACATTATAAAAACCACATGTGGGTTAGCCATGACACTTGCAAAGATAAACTGTTTGTCCTCTGATTTCCAGTAACCCTGCTTGGAATATGTAAATAGATAAAGATTATCTGTAATTTATTTTTGGGTTTTG